CAAATACAGCCGGGGTCATGTACCTTTTAAGTAGGTCCGGAGAAGAAATAGTTCTCTCTTTAAAAGTCTGTATCTCAGTTGTTCTTGGGTCTACATTCAAAACAATTATTGTTCTGGAATCACCAGGACATCATCTACCATACTGGCAGAATGTGCACATTTTGGGAGCAAACTACTCAGAAAAGTGCTGAAATACATGGCCAAAAACTGAAAACAAAAATAACTGCCAAACGGTACGTTTTAACGACTTGGCCCGTCCAGGCAAAATTGTTGGGAATTCGATTGTGCATCTGTACACGAAATTTGGAAGTGTTGGAACAATTAGTTATTGAGATATTTGCTGTCAAACGTTGAAGTTTTGGAATTAATTTTGAATTATTTCCCCTTTGCTATTGAGCCAAGAGCCTAGATATTTTTCAGGGGAATATCTACACCTAGGTGCGCATCTGTGTGATTTTTTGTAAGCGATTCGGGGCATTGGTTTAGGAGTTATGTTTGGTACTAAAATCGGCGGAATAATAAATAATAATAATAATAATCCGAACGATTACAATAGGTCTCCTGCAAGGAGCCCTAATTATGGATACAACTTCTTTATTTCCTAACTGCGACGTTTCGATGCAGATTATTGTATCATTGTCAAATAGGAATGAGAACGATTAAAGAATTTGTATCGAAACGTCGCACTCACGAAATAAAGAAGTTGTTATCCATAAAGTGTATCTATATTGTAAACACTTACTGGCGTAAACACTGAGAAGCTTGGACTGCCACGCCAACGCTTCCCCGTCGTTCATAATAAACGCTCTCAACCATAACCCACGGGGTTTTAGAGGCCGTTACAAGGCATTTCACTTGGCTACAAATCCCAAACTACCCCCTCCGAGCCAACTCATCCAGGCGACAACCAGTTCAAACCTTTCCCTGGACAATGGTTCGCCTAATCAGCCAATTCAATTCGGTGACCATACAAAAGGGCAGAGTTTCACTAGTTGTTTACAAACTTCTGGTAATTCTAACTGTGATAATCTAGTAGCTTTACTCTCCTTTGACGACAGGTTTTTTATCATAAACATATATTCTTTACCAACGTCAACATTTGTTCTCGTCACGATATGACTGAAATATTGCCGATGTAACGTTAAATATTAACTCACTAACTACAAACGTCTGAAGAACAGCACACAAAACATCAGTAAATTTATTAACAGACTTTCTGGTCCTTCCACTTCCCAATCGTTGCCTTTTGCTACACTTGTTGGCCGTCTGTGCTTTATCCCAAAATTTCTGCTGGAGCTTATCAGCTCTATATCTTCCGGTAGAATCAACAAATCTGTGGTAAGTATTCATTTTCTCGTTCAGAGCAGTGACAGCCAACATACATGTGTGCCTAGTAACAGAAAATGCGAAATGAATCGTGGAAATCTCTCTGCCTGCCGTCACGTGACTGTGACCCTGTCAACGATCGATTATATTCGTTTTATATTTGTGAAATCGACAAACCACAATCCCTCAGGTCGTTGTTTGCCTCTCTCACTGTCACATATTATATCTGCTCTGAGTTTTCGTACCTCGTGTACGTATAAATGGGCCGAGTGTCCACTAAATATGATTACGAACCAAAAATCTCAGATCAATTAGTCAGTCAGCCGAATAGCGATTAAATAACATAAATATGACCTTGCACAGTTGTTACTTTACTTCTTTTTTTTTAAAAACAAACAAAACAAAACAAAACCTTTTTTTCCCTCAAAACATCATCTCAGACATCGGTTAAATGAAGGGAATTGATAGTCATTTGGTATTGTACAATCAAACTGTCGGTGTGTTTTCTAACATGCCAGCGGCGATATATAGACAAACAACCCTGATAACGAATGTAGAAATAAATTAGTTCAAAGGCTTTTCATGCGTTAGTGAACGTATTTATGTGTAATCATCAGCAAAACTTCACCTACATATTGTTTGAACGGTATATCGGTGTATGCAGGCTCCTATTCATTGTTTAGGATTGTAGAAACTATCATTTGACAGCAGAAATCAACAGTACGTTTTAGCGAAGTGCTATTTCTTCGAAACTGATATTTTACATGAGTCCATGAGTGAGTGAGTTTAGTTTTACGCCGTTTTTAGCACTATTCCACCAATATCTCGGCGGGGGACACCAGAAATGGGCTTCACACATTGTACCCATGTGTGCATTCGAACTTGGGTCTTCAGCGTGACGAGAGAACGCTTTAACCACTAGGCCACCCCACCGCCCCTCAAAAGGTCCATGAAGAAGACAAACTTGGAGTACCAGTACACAGACCAGCCTCTCCGCCCAGCGTGACGCTGTATCTGTGAAAGTGATTCAAGCGGACATAGAAGCTGCCCGTTCATATGTTGTCTGTTGTCTGTTACAGATGTCAAAATGTCTTCACTTGACTTTGTTTTCTGTTTTATTGTATTCCATATTGCACTAGAGAAGTTCAGAATTCCCACACTATTACTTTAATCGTGATTTATGTAAATATGTCTGTATATTTTGACGAAGCGCCTCGACGTCTGTCTTCAACATCACATCGCAAGGCGGAACAGACATTTGTCAAAATTGTTGTATTCAGTATTTATTTGTTTATTAAATCACGTAACTTTGTTTGAAATACATTTAGAATTCACATACAAATAGTTTTACAGTACATTTATTCCGTTATGTGTTACAGCAAAGACGTATATACGTCCTTGGTGGCAGTAATCACCAAGTTGGCAACTGGAGAAACTCACAGTCGCACATTCAGCGCGCTGTTCACTGATACTCACATAGGGAGATTCAGCTGTTTACAGATACTCACATAGGGAGATTCAGCTGTTTACAGATACTCACATAGGGAGATTCAGCTGTTTACAGATAATCACATTGGAAGATTCAGCTGTTTACAGATAATCACATAGGGAGATTCAGCTGTTTACATATACTCACATAGGGAGATTCAGCTGTTTACATATACTCACATAGGGAGATTCAGCTGTTTACAGATAATCACATAGGGAGATTCAGCTGTTTACAGATACTCACATAGGGAGATTCAGCTGTTTACAGATAATCACATTGGAAGATTCAGCTGTTTACAGATAATCACATAGGGAGATTCAGCTGTTCACTGATACTCACATAGGGAGATTCAGCTGTTTACAGATACTCACATAGGGAGATTCAGCTGTTTACAGATACTCACATAGGGAGATTCAGCTGTTTACAGATACTCACATAGGGAGATTCAGCTGTTTACATATACTCACATAGGGAGATTCAGCTGTTTACAGATACTCACATAGGGAGATTCAGCTGTTTACAGATACTCACAAAGGGAGATTCAGCTGTTTACAGATACTCACATAGGGAGATTCAGCTGTTTACAGATACTCACATAGGGAGATTCAGCTGTTTACAGATACTCACATAGGAAGATTCAGCTGTTCACTGATACTCACATAGGGAGATTCAGCTGTTTACAGATAATCACATAGGAAGATTCAGCTGTTCACTGATACTCACATAGGGAGATTCAGCTGTTTACAGATACTCACATAGGGAGATTCAGCTGTTTACAGATACTCACATAGGGAGATTCAGCTGTTTACAGATACTCATATAGGGAGATTCAGCTGTTTACAGATACTCACATAGGGAGATTCAGCTGTTTACAGATACTCACATAGGGAGATTCAGCTGTTTACAGATACTCACATAGGGAGATTCAGCTGTTTACAGATACTCACATAGGGAGATTCAGCTGTTTACAGATACTCACATAGGGAGATTCAGCTGTTTACAGATAATCACATAGGAAGATTCAGCTGTTCACTGATAATCACATAGGGAGATTCAGCTGTTTACAGATAATCACATAGGAAGATTCAGCTGTTCACTGATACTCACATAGGGAGATTCAGCTGTTTACAGATAATCACATAGGAAGATTCAGCTGTTCACTGATAATCACATAGGGAGATTCAGCTGTTTACAGATAATCACATAGGGAGATTCAGCTGTTCACTGATAATCACATAGGGAGATTCAGCTGTTTACAGATAATCACATAGGGAGATTCAGCTGTTTACAGATAATCACATAGGGAGATTCAGCTGTTTACAGATAATCACAGATACAGATCATCATAGGGAGATTCAGCTGTTTACATATACTCACATAGGGAGATTCAGCTGTTTACAGATACTCACATAGGGAGATTCAGCTGTTTACAGATACTCACATAGGGAGATTCAGCTGTTTACAGATACTCACATAGGGAGATTCAGCTGTTTACAGATACTCACATAGGGAGATTCAGCTGTTTACAGATAATCACATAGGAAGATTCAGCTGTTCACTGATAATCACATAGGGAGATTCAGCTGTTTACAGATAATCACATAGGAAGATTCAGCTGTTCACTGATACTCACATAGGGAGATTCAGCTGTTTACAGATAATCACATAGGAAGATTCAGCTGTTCACTGATACTCACATAGGGAGATTCAGCTGTTTACAGATACTCAAATAGGGAGATTCAGCTGTTTACAGATAATCACATAGGAAGATTCAGCTGTTTACAGATAATCACATAGGAAGATTCATCTGTTTACAGATACTCACATAAGGAGATTCAGCTGTTTACAGATACTCACATAGGAAGATTCAGCTGTTTACATATACTCACATAGGAAGATTCAGCTGTTTACAGATAATCACATAGGAAGATTCAGCTGTTTACAGATACTCACATAGGAAGATTCAGCTGTTCACTGATACTCACATAGGGAGATTCAGCTGTTTACAGATAATCACATAGGGAGATTCAGCTGTTTACAGATAATCACATAGGAAGATTCAGCTGTTCACTGATACTCACATAGGGAGATTCAGCTGTTTACAGATAATCACATAGGAAGATTCAGCTGTTTACAGATAATCATCATAAACTCGTCTCACAACAAACTCAATCTGTATTTTCAGGTCCTAAACTACATCTGGACGCCGCACGAGCAAACACAATGTGGTGCCACATAACTAAAGACGGTGAGTTGATCAACTCACCGTCCCACACACCGTCATATCAGGAGAGGCACAGGTTACAGAGGTATTGGGGGACCTGTTCTTCCACCCCCATCCCCCTTCCTCCACCCCACTCCACCCTCACCCCAGTATACAGCACACCTAGATACTGGGAGACACTCAACATGGTGCAGGTGGTGAGGGAAATGTGGTATTGGCCTGTACTGGAGATGGGGGTGAGTGAGGCAGGACAGGTGGACAGGGGGCTGTGGGTTTCTAATCAGCGTCGCTCCTGGTGTGTCTGTGTAGAGAGCTGTGTCGGACACCTGGGAAGTATCTGTACCACGGTGTACAGGCAGGGTAAGCAGGGCGAGTGTCAGCAGAACACCATGTCCCGCACTCCCGGCACACAGGCCACCTTCCACTATGGCCTTGTGCTGGATGTGGCGAGGGGAAGACTCGCATTTCTCGACTTGAACAGAGAGATTGTTTTAGCCAAGTTTGACGAGATGTTCACGGAAGACCTGTACCCCATGTTTGGTGTTTCGCCGTTGCCAGAACGCGTCACTGTCAACATGAAGCTGGTCAACGGTGAGGACATCGACATCACTGACACAAAGAAGTCTCTGATTCACGATGCGCTGACATAGAAAACACACAAGACGTGAGACTGTGTGACGTTACAGTGTAACAGAGAGATTTATACCAGCTGTTTCAATAACGGACCCGTGAAAATCCGGGGTAGAATAAGTCTTCAGCAACCCATGTGCTTGCCATAAAAAGGCGACTATCTTGTCGTTACTCAGCGAATGCTGTTGGTCTGGTCCAGACTCGTACCGCCGAAGGGTCCGGGTTTGATTCCTGTTTCATGTTTACAAAAAGTAGCGAAGTTTGCTAAAATGTTTTGCTACGAGGTGATTGTAAAATGTCTACAAACGTTAGAAATACCACATCAGTATCTTTGTTGAAATAACTGATATAACCACCACCAATAGGGAGACAAAGCTACAGTTACAAAGAAATACCACATCAGTATCTTCATGTTGAAATAACTGATATAACTACCACCATTAAGCGACATTGTGTAATGTTTTGAAATCTGATGTGATGAATATAAGTGAAGTCAGGTTTTACACAAAATGTTTCAAATAGCAATGTTTTCTATTTCACTTCACTCTTCTGTGTATTATAAATGTTTTGAATCCTCAAGTTAATTGTTTTATGATCATATTCGTGTTGTTCCATCGGGTAAGCCACATTATTGTGTTTTCTGATGAATGACGGGCTTTGTAGTGAGAGCACTAGACTAAATACAGTTTTCTTTATTTCACTTCCTTCTTTTATATGTTACATATGTTTTGAATCCACGCAGTAATAGCTTTATGATCATATTTTTGTTGTTGCAGCTTAAAATATGACACTGCATGTATGTTGTTTTTGGAAGGATAGACTTTGTACTACTGAGAATTCAATCCTGACAATAGTTTGTTCAAATAAAAGGGTTTTTTTTCACTTCACTTGTCTTTACGTTAGAAATGTTATGAACCCACACGTTAAATGTTTCATGGTCAAATATATTTGGTTGCAGGGTATAACATGACACCCTTTGCTGTTTTATGAAGGAAAAGCTGTGTAGTGTTGGGAGCACAAGAATGACAATTGTTTGAAATTACAGTTTTCATTATTCTATTTCAGTTCATGTTACAAATGATTTAAACACTCAACCATTATTAGGGGCGGTGGGGTAGCCTAGTGGTTAAAGCGTTGGCTCGTCACGCCGAAGGCCCGGGTTCGATTCCCCACATGGGCACAATGTGTTAAGCCCATTTCTGGTGTCCCCCGCCGTGATATTGCTGGAATATTGCTAAAAGCGGCGTAAAACTAAACTCAGTCAGTCAGTCAGTTGACCATTATTAGTTTGATGACCATATCCAAGTTGTTGCAGCTTACAATATGTCACATTATGTTGTTTTATAAAGATTTTATTGTGCTGAGATCACAAGGCTGGAAAAAAAATGTTTCAAATTACAGTTTTCTTTGTCCCCGTTCACTTGTTTTATTCTACACATATTTTGTACCCAAACATTATTAGAAACATTATCATATTTCCGTGTTTGCTGCTTAAAATATGACACATTGTATTGTTTTATGAATGACAGGCTTTGTAGCGTTGAGAACTCAAAACTAATAAACGTTGATAAACTGATAACATGGCTGTATATTTCGCTTCACTTGCCTGTATATCACAAAAGCTTTAAATCTAGTATTGACACTTTTATGTATATTTCTTGAGCAACTCATGTTATGACACAGTTTGTTGTCCTCTGACAGTAGATATAATTTGTAATAATGAAGGCAAAAATAAAGTGCTTTTAAATTATTGCTTTCATTATTTGTATTCTAGTTTCTAGTTTCAGTATTGTGTGAGTGAGTGAATGGTGTTTTCACGACAGTAAGGAATATTCCATCTATTAAACAGGATCTTGTAAATAATCCTGGTCCTGTAAACCAGTGATCGATAGCATGAGCAGTGATTAGTAAGTTGGTGATTACATCTAGAAAGTGTTTGAGTGAGTTTAGTTTTATTGCGCCCTTTGCAATATTCCAGCCAAATAACGGCGGTTTGTAAATAATCGAACCTGTACAAGACAATCAAGTGATCAACAGCATGAGCATCGATCTATGGATACAATGACGTGTCAACAACAGCAAGTCTGACCATCCGATCCCGTTAGTCGCCTTTTTACAAGCATGGGTTACTGAAGATCAATTCTAACCCGGATCTTCAGGGGTTTATGTAGTGTTTGTCAATACTGACTAGGAGTTTTACTGACAGATGTCGTGATAAGGTGCAGCGATTTCACTTTAAGATAATGGGCACAATGTTTGAAGCCCATTTTGTGTGTCCCTCGCTGTGATATTGCTGGAATATTGCTAAAAGCAGCGTAAAACTAAACTCACTCAGCCAATGGGTCAATTACTTACCGCCTAATTATATGAAAGAATTTAACATTTCTCTTTTAGGGCAATAGATTTTCATAATTTCACATTGCGTGATACACGTGAACCCAACAGATGGTTATCAATAGAAAATTCTGTACAAGGTGATTTTCAACATTTACCGTTTTCAACATCTACTGCCTATGGAATGGGTTAGCCGAATACTGACGGCAAACTTTGGAACAGACGAGGCAACACCTGGGATGGGTTTGCGCCAAAGCATTACGCCATGTTTACAGACGAATATAGGTTTTGCCTCGGATTCGATGATGACAGAAAACGTTGCAAGCGACGTGCCAGGATATGCGATAGATATGCCAGGTCAACAATTCTTGATGGTGATCGGGATGGGGACAGTAATCTTTTCATTTTCTTGTCGTCTATAGTGGCTTAAGCAATGCATGTGGAGTACCATTGATGTGGCTTTTTAAAGTCATAGGCCTCAGCTCATGGTGAAACACAATTTTGTGATGCACGTGCATTTCATGTAGGGTGTGTTTTAGCGATTCACTACATACGTCAGTGTAACGTTACGTTTTTGTTCAACGTTTCTTTTGTCAAACTTTTTGTCGTCGGCAACCATTCTCCCACGTGTTGGGATTCAGCATGGATTAGTTTGTGTCAAATACTTTCCTAAAATTCTAAAAAAAGAGTTTTTAAGAGTATACATACACATTTAGAATATACTCATATTTGAAGGCATATGTCACAAGGATCGGTAGCAGTTGTCGTTAGATAATGACTCAAGAACTTTGCTGAATCATATAAAGTTGAAGATTTGGATCGGGATTCGTCAGAAAAATATACTATCGGGCAGTGCTTAGATTTGTGTTCCTACAAGTCAATATCAAAATCGCTTGTAGGGATCAACACAGACTATGGCTGCCACAGCCGGTCTTTAGTTTACGGATTTTACCGCCACTTCACGATGCCGTTCATATCGTTTCTCTAACATTAAACTGAGAAGTCGTGACATATTCTTAGTGGTAATATTGTTACGCTGGAAATATGAATTGACCCCTCTTTTGTTAACCTCACAGTGGGCTCGAAAGGATTTCGAAAGTATATATTTGTTTTGTTGTCAAAGGTTTAGGGCCTACACTATAACACTTGCTGAATTACCTCATACAAATCCGTGTTAAAACTGGTCCTCAGAAACCTGTCCCTGCTGAAAGAGGCCACTAACGCTACTTGTTTTAAATTGTAGTTTTATCTTTATATTTCGCTACTTCACATTTATTCATTTTCCCCCGGGAAGCCCGTAAGTGCTAGTTCTGCTCTTATCTTTGATTCCGTCTGAAATTCCATCTGCTTCCTCCCTAAGTTGCTCGTGCTCGCTAACATGTAAATGATTCAAGTCAGCGTATCCCAGTTGCGTAGATAGATGCGGATGATATCAGAGACTGGATGATTGTCTCGTCCAGATTGATGTACCTACAGACCTTCATATATCTGGAACGTTGTTATTAAAACATTACACAAAATACAAATCGCATCTGTTCTCCCTTCTTGAACCGTTTCCTTCGGGGCGGAACTTTCGTTTTCAAACTTGGTTCAGTGCTCGATAACATGCCTAAATACTGGCACCTTTATATCTAAAACAATAGTGCTTAAATAAAACAACAGTGTCAACGCGCAAGTAATCTTTCAGCTAATGGAGAGAACCGGGACGGTGTCGTACCGGGAAGGCTCAAATATATTTTTCAGATGTCCCGGGGAGGCTAAAATGTATATTTCGGATTTCCCGGGAGAACTATTATGTCCTAAAGGTTTCTACTATTCCATTATTAAAGATTCACCCTGTTTTGGAAAAGCATTTATTACTCACAGATAACATTTATAAACCTTTACTATATTTTAGAACAAGTAATCGCAAATTGCCATTAGAAAAGGGTCGCTGGTCGAACATTCCTCGTGAAGAGAGATTTTGTAGATTGAGTAATTCTCAAGAAATTGGCGACGAATTCCATTATTTATTTAGATTATGTAAAACATTGGCGTATGAACGTTCTTCTTTTATCAGTGATTATTTTCATAAATGACCTAACATGTCAAATTATAAGCAACTTGTTCGGAATAATATACTCATGCCAATAATGGTTGTCACCCCCTTCAATTTTTTTTATTGGAGAGGGGGTGTGGGGTGGGGGTATGGGCTTGGGGTGGGGAGGGGGGTGACAACCATTATTGGCATGAGTATAAGATACATGTCCCGAAAAAAACTGTCAAGACTGTCCACGTTAATCCTGTTTTCTTTGTAATTAGTCAGGGCCTCCGAGTGAGGCGCGCCGTGTTCATTCAGCCATAACATTGTATTGCAAGTACCGCGATGGCTACGCTCATATATTGAACCGAGAAGCGTCACGATTTTAGCCTTCCCGGCCGTGAACATATAGGCGTAAGGACAAAGGGTAAGTCAGTGCCCTAAAGTTTGTTTACAAACTGTGAGAGAAAGTGGTTTAGTGTCTCCAAGTACATCAATTAAACTAGTTATAAAATTCAACAACATAAGTGAGTGAGTAAGTTAATATTTATCGTCACATCAACAATATTTCAGCCATATCGTGACGAGAACAATTTATAATTATATTAGGGATCAATAAAGTTAGAAATTGAAAGCCTGTTGACGGAAAACTAAAAGTACTCTCGGAAAAAAACAATTGTTTTTAGGCTGTTACTATGTATCCCTAAAGTTTACACAATTGCAAATAGCATAT